ATAAGTGGTGTGAATCGGCGGTAGGCAATCCCGTTAGTCTTCTATAAATGACTGTGAATTCGACTTGGAGAAGCTGAGCACACCCAATGAACATTCCTCAACTACTCTTTCTGCATTGGTTGAGAGAGCGAAATGTCTTAGCTAAGATTGTCGGTGCTGGATTTACTCGCCTCGGGAGTTGTTCAAACAGTTCCACCATAGCTACATCAATGTATCCCAAAGTCCTTAGGAATATAATCAAACCATACAGACCCAGGGTGAAGAGATCTATTGCCTTCCATTCATTGGGATAGTTTTTCATGAGTTGCTTGATATGAAGCCAAAAATTTCCTTCCCCACTGCCTTTATGTCGAGCCCGGTCGGTTACCCATTTTTCGTCAACCCCTGTAACCTTGGCCTGTCCATTCTTGAAAGGATGACTTTTGATGTGTTTAATGTAGGCCCACTCAAGTCTGATGCTTTCGTAGTGTAGCAGTGTAGTACACTCTTCGATTGTGGGAACCATGTCCTCCTGGTTAAAAGTGAAACAATTGTACCCCAGGTTCCAGAATTGAACCAATGCTCTGATTAGGGGCTCATCAGTCTTGACATAAAGCAAGAGTGCAATATCACCATACCGTTGACTGAACTTCTATTTCGGTCACTCTTCCAACTGTCCCAGATGTTTCGAAGCTCTTTACATCATTCTGCTTTAGGCTGCAGAGGCGTAGCTAACCAATTCTGACACATAGCTTCCTTGACGATTATCTCCCTTTTCTTTATGGGTCTTTTCGGACCATAGTCGTACCTTGGCATTTTTTTACCTTTTGCATTACAACCCCTTTGTCCTTTAATACAGATTATTTGTGTATAACTAACACCTTTTTATGGATCAATAGCCTCTTTTTATGATGAAATGCTAAAAACAAAGACAAACACGAAAGCAAAAAGTTAGTAATATAAAAATATAAATGCTGAAGAAAAGAAAAATAAAAATAAAGATGGCAAACTGTATGAGTAAAAAAATCATCCTAGGTTTTGAAATGGGGTTTTGGGGTAGGCTCTAATTCTTTGTCGTCTCCCGGTTTTGGTTTAAAAAGGTATCCGAGTTCTCCTTGCTGGTGCACCCTTGGGCTTGCCAGACCCTTAGTCCTAAGCCCATTACAAGCTTGTGTCGACTAAGTTAAACTCGAGAGGATACATTCCCTTATGTCTGTGCGGTGAATAAATTCACACGAAGACATAAGGTATATGAATCTCGAAGGCTACTTGCTAGGCCTGTGCGGAGAATAAATTCTCATGAAGGCGTCGCTTTCACCCCCACTTAAAAACGGGTTTGGAGCTCGGGTATAGAGCCTTAGATGAAAAAGCTTAAAAGGCTGAAATCTTTGAAAGAAATCATCAGTACAACTATTTATTTGAAAATATAATCAAAAGTAAATAATAATAATCGAAAAACTACCTTAAAATTTAAACTTACCATTTTCATTAAAAAGACAATCCGAAATTAACCTTAGCCTGGCTCACTTACCTGTCCCCAACGGAGTCACCAAGCTGTCGCAACCGTTTTTCGAGTGGGCCCGAAATTGGGCTTCGACTTGAATGAAATGGGTTAGAGTCGCCACATATCATTTATTTTAAGAACAAAATGGGTTGATCAGATACCTCGATTTCTTACCTGGTCTGCATCTTACCAGATATATGTTGGATTCGGGAGTCGGTTACAGTCAATGAAGGATTAGCACCCTTGAACTGCCCTTTCGATACTAATTAATTCCCAGTTGTCTTTAATTAAAAAATTATAAGTTAAATTAAAAGGTAAAATTTTGATCCAAATTACTTACCACTGACGGATTTGAAAGTATTCCCTTAAAAAGATAGAAATGTTAGATTTGTAACGAAGTGCATAATCAAATTAAGATAGAAAATGCATAAATAATCAAAATAATAAACAAAACAAAAAAAGGAAAAATAATAAAATAAATAAAAATAAAAGAATAAAACAAGATAAATAAAATGGTAAAATAAAAAATAAAACAAACCAAAATGGATAAAAAAATAAAAACAAAACAAAACAAAAACGAAGGAAAAAAGTAATGGAATTAAATAAAAAACAGAAACAAAATAAAAATAAAAAAAAAATAAAAATTAAAAGTAAAAAGTAAAAAGTAAAATAAAATAAGAATAAGAATAAGAATAAAAATAATGTATATATATGTAATGTAGTGTTTAATAAAAATAAAAAAATAAATATATATACAAAAATAAAGATGTTAAGAAAAGAAAACAGGAACAAACAAAAAACGAAAATAAAAAAAGATGAAATATATATATATATATTAATATTAATGTTAAAATAAATAAAATAAAGGAGGAAGGAAGGAAAAAAATATATATAAAATAATAATAAGGAAAATAATATATATAAATGTAATATAAAAAATAAAAAAATTAAAACACGCAGGGACTAAATTGAAAGATTAATAACTTGGGGGTACAATTTAAAAGCAAATTGGGGTAAAATTCAATTTAAGGGGCAAAATGAAAGCATTAAAAAATAGGGGGACCAAAACTGCAATTCCCTATTTAACAAAAACACGAGGATCTAGTGGGGGTCTGATCGAATTACGGTCGGGTGGCAGGTTTCTATAAATGCCAACCCCATAAACAAAATTCATAATTTTCCCCCTTTCAAAAGATCAAAACGAAGACCCCTATTTTCTCTGGGGTGTCTTGGTATTCTTCATCAAATGAAGAACACCGCCACCCCAACCCAGAAACCAGCCATTTACGACCTTGTCGGCCACCGTTGATCGACGCCGACCGCCGTTAATCGGCGGTGAAACCTAACAAATTTTGCCTTTTTAGAAAGCTCTTCGTATCCCCATTTCGAAAATTTACTTTGTTTTTGCAAAACGACCTCAGGGGAGGCTAGATCTGAGAAAGTCTCGAAATGCCTCCCATTCGTTCCTCGGTCTTTTAGGTTTTTTGAATCCAAAACGAAAGAAAGAAAAAAAATATGCAAGCCTCAAAATCGAAAACAAGGTACGAATTTTACCTTTATTTCTTTTTGAAATGTTTACAAAGCTTCGATTTTTCTCTTGCAACTAATTCGTATTTTTTGTAAATTTCGTATGTAATTTCTGAGTATCTTTTTGACTTGCATTTACATCAATTATAACCCTAAAATAACCTATTTTTAGTTCGATTTGTTTGGTTTTAGACTCCTAATAGGACTAATCTACTGTTTTTTTGTATCCCACGAGCACACGTCTTTGATGACCGAGAAATATGGGTGGTTGACGAGTTGCGGCTGGGATGAATATTTCTCTATGCGTCGTTGGAATGGGGCCTTAGGGTATCGAAACCCTAATTTCTTATGCTATTTGGACCGTTGGATGGGTCCATATATGACGGTGGAGAATAAAGAGCGGCTGTTATTGTGAAAATCCCTAATATATTCTAGGGTTTCAAACTGGGTCGATTCGGGCTTCCTAGATCTCGGGTTGATTCGCGGGTTACTAGTTCGGGCTACAGCTTGGGTCCTTTGTTTTGTAATTTGGTGGGCTTGTAACAATTTTGTAACTGGGCTTTTAGACTGTGAGGCCTGTAAAAAACAAAAATGTTAGTGTAATAAAAATGATAATAATAATACATATATATATATATATATATATATATATATATATATATATATATATATATATACATATATATATATATATACATATATATATATATATATATATATATATGTATATATATATGTATGCTCCTAATTGGTCAGAAAAAGTGTATCTACAAATAACTATTTGTACAAAAAAATTAGATAGCTAATTGTATAAAAAAAATAAAAATTGAGTACCACACTACCCATAAATACCAAAGATGAGTATAAAAGCTATAGTTAACCAAATTAAATATATTTATTTATATTTTTAAAAATTATTTTATATCTTTATTTTTTAAACAAAATAATAAAATAAATTTTGTATTCAACAAAAAATATAATACTTCATATCAACTTAACGAGTCTAATATTTTTCTATTAATTGATCTAATTTGATAAAAGAAAGTTATTCAAAAAGTAAAAAAAAAAACTTAAGGGTGCATTTAGTTCACAAAATGTAAGATTACCGGTTGGAATAAGATTATTGGGAATGTTGCATTGTTGTGTTTGGTTCGTTTAGTAGGAATGTAAGATACAATGCTTGTTTAAAGGAATAAAAGATTATTGTAATGTATATTTTATCAAATTGTTCTTGTTTTATACTTGTTTTTTTTTAATAAGTTGAATTCTACTATAATTAATTTATATATTTTCTTTAAAAATTTTAAATTCATAAAAATTATATAATTTTTTTACAAAATTGAAAATATAAATAGATTTAATGAAAGAGTAAAATTTTATTTTAATCCCTGAATTTCATATAAAATTCTAATTATGAACTTTTTTGTAAATGTAAAATAGTTTAAGAATAAATTTGTAATTTAACATTCGTAGAATGTTTTTATTCAACGACAGAAGAATGATATTTTTTGGGGGGAAATTAAGAGCATTTTAGTTCAAAATATCGGGAATGTAATGATACCTATGGAATAGGTAATCACATTTATGATAATATACCCACAAAATACCATTATTAAGAATAACTTATTACCGGGATTGAGAATGTTTGTCGAGGAAATATTTTTTATTCCCCGATAATCAAATATGACCTAAACCAAACGCCCCTAAAAGATCAAAATATTTTTGAATAAATTCAAAGATAAAAATATCATTACGCTAAATATTTTAAAATCCATAGGTTGATCTCATCCAAAATTAATTCGGAGTTATTCAATTGCCAAGTGTAGTATCAGATCACGAAAGAAACGACACCGTTGGCTATCTCTCTCTAGCCTTTTACCGTTTTTCAAGTAAAGAATTCTCTCTCGGCACTCAAACGTAACTGGCAAAGAGTTACTGCTACGGCGCAGCATCAGAATCAGCCATTGTTTCAACTACCTTACAATTGTCGCTATAACTCCCCTCAATCTGTCGCCGAAGTCTTCTTAAAAGGCTACTTGATTTGACGTCGCCTTAAAGTGATTCAATCGAAAGAACAGCATCGCATCAACCGCCACAAAAGGAGGAAACCATGCTCCAAATTGGAGAAGAAAACCCTTCGAGGTACGGTCATTGAACTTAGGGCTTTATTTTAGCTCTTCCATGATTTTGCATTCGAGTAACAACGTGTAATCGATGTTTTTGGTAGGTTTGAGTTACTGAGTGTTGTAAGAAAGCACTCGAATCTATTGGGGAAAACGAAGGCGGACGACCAAGATGCTTCTGACGTTGAAATGGACGGTAAATTTTGGCACGACGTCTTTGATTTGTATTTCGTTCGGGGTAAGGAGTCTAGAGGTCGCCAAGACGATGATCTTATATTTTTCGTCCGGAAATGGGTATCAGATCTCGATCACTTCTTGTTATCTCTAAAATAATAAAAACAATTACTTGGAATATTAAGCTAATTGTTTCGGTTTATGATGCTATAGAAGGGGCATGGTTTTAACGATAGTGACGAAAGCGTTGCTCCTTACTTTGTACGCAGGTGGGCACCTGAGGTAAAAGAAAGTTAAAACTAACTTGAATCTGAATTTATGTTTTCTTGTTTAAGTTGATTTCATTTCACTTTATTAGTTTGCGTTGCTTTTTGTTATAATGCCATAGCTTCAAATTGTGGGCTATCTATGAATTATGATTCCATTTAGTTTGACTGTCTTTACTCTCTCTTTTTTTCCTTTTTTTTTTTGACACAGTTGGATAAGCTAGTTGGAGACAGCTTATCAGTGGTGGATTGGAGGCGCTCATTTTACTTGAACATGATTGCCCATACTTCATTCTCTGTAACAGTGGCGATTTGCAGGCAATTTCTACACTTCGATGTGTTGTGTCTTATCTATAAATGTGATAACACATTTTAATTATTTTTCCGAATATTAGCTTCATGTTGTGTCTTTGTTTCGTCCTTCCCTCCCCGGTTAACAAACTTTTCTGTCTTTAAATCTGAAGTTTGAACCATAACAAAGAAAAGAGATATTTATTTTCTGCAAGTTTTTTTTTTGAGAGTTCACTTTGTTAGATTATGATTTGATTTTAACTATAAGTTATTTTCCCCCTTTTACAGTCAGAGTGTCCTTAAAAATCATCAAATGGGGCAAGACACACCATTGTCTGCTATCTACAAGGTAATTCCCGCTCCAATGGTTTTAATGATGGCAATCACGAGGACATTTACATCATTTTGTACTTAAGATCTTTCATCATGAAAAAAAAAATCAGACCGGATTGTTGCTGATAAGTGTAGAAATAAACATGTAACTATTGCTTCCAACATGCTGTATGAATTACTGAATTCATCCTCCTTGTATATGCTATACACTGCTAATTTTTGTAATTTTAATTCTAGACCTTCAATTATTTTTATGTTAAGCCAAATGCTGCTACCTGAAAGGATTGTTTAATGTCCTTGCCGACATTGAGTGCTGCATTATTTAATTGTCAATCTTTCATTCTGCTGTCCTGCAGGTTGTGAAGACTGTTTATGCATCTCCCAGTAGAGTAAATTTTCATTTGGACTCAAAAAAGGCAAGCCTTATTATTTCCAGGAAATCATGGTGATAATGGGATTTTCTTCAATTTTATGACATATTCACTAATATGCATGCAGGAAGTTGAGACAACACCTGCCTATCCAGACATCTGTTTTGCAATAGATGATTTTGACTCTACTTTTGATGCAGTGGTAAATGCTTTCTTTTTCTTTATAAAATTACCAATCGTTGTTGTTTATGATCATATTGTTGCATAAATGCACATCATAATATTATCTTTTTTCTAAAAAAAAATACTTATGATGAACTTTCAATTTAAGCAAATTATTGCACATTTTCCCAAAGAGTAAGATTCGAGTGGTATATGGCTTTCAACTTGGCTAGTATCACTGCCTTCCTCTTGTAACCAATTTTTTTTTTTGATAGGACTTGTAACCAATTTTAAAAGCACTGAGCTAATGAGAAGTTGGAATTTGCTATTTGTGAAGCATGTATAAGGACCAAAGCCACTTCTTTTATTGTGGCTGTGCATCCTTTTTCATTTTTATTGTTATCCTGTTGTTCTTTGTTATTTATATATATAAAAAATGCTGGATTTCATGAAAAGCAGATATTTTTGTTAACTGTCGGACTTCCAATATATCACTGACATTTTTATCCTTGTGCAGGTCTTGACCGATACGGATCATTGCTATTGTGTGCTTCTTAATGCACTTGATGGTGCAGCATTTCCTAGTGAAAAGGGTACAAATGATAACAGTTCCAGTAACAAATCACCATTAAGAGTAGATACTAATTCTGTGAAGACGAAAAATAGTAAGGTTTGGGTCCTTTCTCTGCTTTGTGATAATTTATGCGTGTATTGATTCCATGGTCAACCAGAATCTTCACTTTGAAGGAGGTAATTAGAACTTTTTGGTTTTTATGTTGCTTTAAGATTGTCAAGAGTACTAAATTTTACTTGGTTGAAAAAAAATTGTACAGAACATGCCAAAATGATTTTGTTCTTTTGAGATATCTATTTTCCTTGAATCACTTGTAAATATTTCCTTCCGCCGTTCTCAGAATCCTGAAATTTTTGTTTTGTTTTTGCCTGTAATGGATGTTACTTGTAGACAAGACACCAATATAGAGAGTGCTTTTTGAATTCTTGCAATTGTTTTCTGCTGTGATCAATGGATTGATCATTAAGGCGCTAGTGGGGTGGTATAGTTGACTAGGACGTAAATGGGCTGTCCTTGGAATTCTAACTTCTAACAATGATGCATTTCAGTGAGAGAGTCTTTACATTTTCCCTGTGAACATTCAAAATATATTAACATAAACGATGAAAGTGGTATATTGTTACTTTTCCTAATGTTTGTTGCATTTTAGTGATGCCAACTAGGAATATTTTATCATCGTGAACAAGTTTTGTAGATGTAAATAACATTTTGTTAGCTTCAAATGAACTGGTACCATTGGTTCTGTAAGCTGCTTAGGAATTATATAGGTGCAACTGTTCTTGATTGGAATATCGGTTTGCAGACAACATGACATGCTGCTAATTGTTATTGCAGCTCACACTTTTTTCTGGATTTGTCAGCTATCAAATGGTTCGGGATGCATATGATGGTACACTATGGAATTAATCTTCCTAAGAACTGCCTTTGGTTTTTTGTTCATTCAGAATTCTGCAAAAACCTACAGCATCATCCGATAAATATTTTTCTGCTTTGTGTTTATGAAAATGTGATGAAGGAATTGATTTATACGTGGAATACACGAGTGGCGTATTTGGAATTGAATTTAGTTCTTTTGATTAAGCAACAGCTAAGTTACCTTTTAGTATAATCTTACAATGGGTTTGAACTCCGTAGGTGCATTTTGATCAACATTTGTAGAGAAACACGCACTTTCAGTTTATTTCATGTTGAGTGAGCCTGGTCTAGTTTAAAGGTGCTAGAAATGTAGACTACTTAAATTATGTTCTGAACAGCCTGACCTTGGCGTTTATTTTATTCTTCATGTTTATTTAGTACTCATTTCATATCATTTGCCTTTCTTTCTCAGCTGGGAGCTCTGGATTTGGAAGTCTTCTGTCAATTGGTCATTCCTCTGGCAAGAAAGATAGACTTTACATGAAAGGTCCTGGAGGACGTGGGGAAGTTGAAGTGGTTGTTTCAGGTGTCGTGGGTCAGTAAGAAACTCGTTCTTAGAATCTATCCTCTAAAATTTACTTCTTTGTCCCCTTTTTCCTCAATGCTAATGTAGATTAGATGTTTCAACAAAATGTAAATCCACTGTGACCCTGACCCATGTTTTTCAAGTTTAACATGTCTGATTCATCAATCATTATGTTAACTTCAAAGTAATGATTATTGTGGGGTATTGAGGATATTAGCTGACTGATGAAATTAAGTGAATGATGCATGCAAGTGTTGAGTCAAATATTGAATCCACCTTTTCTTATCAGATCAAAGCAAGCAGGACTCAGGCCCCTTTTCACCCATCATATCAAAAAAGGGTTTTGGGTTTGGCTCAATTGTTCGTAAAGCAGCTTCGGTTGCATCTGTAGCAGCAAAGAATGCTTATGCAGCAGCTGCTGCCACTTCATCTTCTGATGAGGAGATTATACCCCTCAAATGCTGCTTAATGTCTATAACATTGCCCTGGGAAGACATTGCTTATGATCTTTTGTTCAAGGTAAGATCATATTTCACAATCGCATTTGCTGCAATACTGATTTCGCGCCACATGCCAATGACTGGGCTAACTTCATTTTTCATTTATCACCGAACTCAGGGTAGTCCTCCCGTGAACTTGTAGATGACTTGTAATCATGTTGCCAAAATCTACAAAACATGAGTAGGTGCAGAAGGGAAAAGCGTTGTAGAAGTGCAAATGCAAACTTGGAGAGCATGAAAGAGGGGGATTAGCATTATCTCTCTCTATATATATTGGCGTTGGGGGAATCGTTGTACATTATTAATTGTAAATACTAGTTTGTTGTTTGTGATGCTTTCATTGTATCAGATTCATTTACATTCCTAGTGGATTTGTGATCGGCTTTCCTATCTCTTTATTGTTTGCAGTATTTAGTTAGTTTTATAAAGGCTTAATATTTTGATATTTAAAATATTTTAATATTTTATTAAAAATATTTTTTATATTTTTAAAATTATATTTAAAATCAAGTATTTTTAATTATCTGATGAGGTTTTGGTAAAGTTGACGAAAACTGAGATCTTAGATCCTTGAATGCGTAGATATCATGTGTGTGTGATTTTCATTTGTCATATAAGCATATTGTTTGTAAATTATTTTATAAAAAATCGAGTTATTAGACCAAATTAATAATTATATTTTTTTATTTGTTTATAATGTATGTATATGATTAATTTTGATTTTAATCATATCTAAATATATTGTTGATAATATATATATATATATATATATATCAAATTATTAGTTCTAAAATATATTTATTTACATATAAAAGCATTTACATGTTAGATGGTGATAAGGACGAGGATTATCTTTTTAATTACTTCACACCGTTTCAGTTCACAATTTTAACTAATGATTTTTCAATTCACTATTATAATTTATAGATATTTGTGAAATTCATGAAATGATTAAGTTTATTGTTATGTATATGTATCTCATTATTCTTTTTAAATAGTATGCCTTAATTATAAGATAATATTTATTTATAATTTTTTATGTCACACTCTACAGACATATATGTTCAAACCCGAATCTTCCAAGAAGAAAACTATTTTCTTTTATTATTGAGATTATCTAATAAGTTCTTTTATATATATTATTAGTAAGAAAATAAAAATTAGATTATGAATAAAAATATTTAAAATATAAATAAATTTGAAACATTCTACATCAAATTAAGAGTATTAAATTAATATAAATTAATGATTATAATTATTTAGTATTTTTTCATAAAACTCATAAATTTTAATTTTTACTTTTAATCTCGTCTATCAATTTAATACCGTTATTAGCCCAAAATATCTGGACTGTGATGCCCAGTGGGTCATGAAAATTCCAACGAGCTCAAAATTTTCAAATCCCATTCTTCATTCAACAAAGAATAAAGATCCCGATTCCCGCCTCTTCAGTCTTCTCTCTGCAACTCAACGTTCGAAAGTACGATGGCCGAGAATATCTGCGTATCAGTGACATTAAGACCTCCCATCTCCCAAGATTCTCCTTCTGCAACTTTCTGGAGAGTAGAAGATAACCGAATCTCTCTTCACAAGCTTCATGGCACCCCCATTTCCGGCATTTCTTATGCTTTCGGTAAATCTCTCTTTCCCTCTCCCCTTGTAGAAAAAATATTATTAAATAATAATATTATTATTACTACTATATTATTATTATTACTATGAATATTTTATATTCATGTAGGCTATTCAAGCCCAGCAAATTTGGATCCCAACACTCAAGCCCTAGAGTCTAATTACAAGGTGCCAGTTCGGATACAAATACCCAATACCCAAACTGAAGCCACCGTCAGTGAATACCCTTCAACTCCAGTCGGCGTATGGTCCATCGTGCCTCTTCAACGTCGAGCCGTCAAGCCTCCGAGACACCAGACATCGTCATTGCATACATCAACAGCAACCAAATCCTTACAAGATAAAACAAAATTCACCAAATCCACCATTATCTATGTTTAAATAACACTAAAATCAAAAAGCAAATTAGGTATTGTTACCTAACGAATTATTCAAAGATCCCATACCCCACTACATGCAACGATAAAACGAAGGGGATTTGCGAATAAGGGGGGCAGGCAGCAAAACACAAAACCAGAGGAAGGCACGTCTTTTCAACAGTAACAAAGAGCAAGTATGAAACACGAAAAGAAAGCTTTGTTCTTGTAACGAGGGTATTGTGAAACCCACATAAACAGTGTAACCGGGGTCTTCCCCGTTTTCATCGAAAGCAATACAAAATTTATAAAGGTATTCTCTCATTTCATTTTTTACTTTACAGTGCTTGTGTGCGTGTGTATGGAATTGAAACACAAATAATAAAACAAAATAGGAGATAAAAGCTCACCGAAATTGTCTGAGCCTTAAGCGTTAGGTTGGCATCGTCGGATTCCATAGTTTTAGATTTAGGTAAATAAAAAAGAAAGGGTTAGAATAAAACCAAGAGTGAGCCAGGTTAGGGGTGTCATCTCGTTTAAGGTTGTTTGATCGGGCTTCTCGGTCTGGTTCGATGTCGGTCGGAGTGGCGGCGTTTGGAGGTAGTTGTTGAAATCCACGACTGTGTGATGAATGTTGAAAAATAGGAGGAAGAGAGCAAAGAGGGGAACGACGCCTCTTGTGAGCGTGAGGGAGATGACAGGGGAAGAGGAGAAGTGGCGTAGAGAAAAGGGGGAATGCTTTGAGTTAATGCTATGGTAAATATTAGTTTTAGGGTTATATTTGTTTAATACGCTAGTTGTTTGTCCCCAAATATCCTTATATTTTAATCACTTTTTTCCTGTTTAAGTATATAAATCTATTATATATATATATATATATATATTTATGCGTGCATATAAATAACCTGTGCTATGATTACATATTATATTATTTGCTGCATAATGTGTAAGCATTATATGTAGGCATATAAAACACGTGTAGCTTCATTATGCCATGTTTCAATGACATATATAAACCATTTAGATTATATTTATTATTTTATAAACATGATTTATTATTTTTGTAAATGTCATTCTTCTTTCTAAAAGATTGGTTTTCAATGACAAGGTATAGAGTTTGATTGATTAAGTTTCTCGTATGTTTTAATCAATTATGATTTTATTAAGTTCATAATAATTAATTAGTTTTTTACCTTAATTATTATTGGTTTTACTGTTTAGCCATTTAAATTACTGTTATATATATATATATATATATATATATATATATATATTTGTTTGTCTTTTGAATTATAAAGTGTTTAGATTCCTTTGTTTATACTATAATCTGTAAAGTTTCATAGATCTAATTTTAGTCCTTTGTGTCTCTATTTACATACTTGTACATGTGTGCAACCTCATTTGTATATTATGGTTTCAATGTTTTATGTGGAATAAATGTAAATTATATTAAATTATTATTTATTCCTATATTAACTTAGGTTGTTCAATCTTTATTATTTTGTATTCTAATTCTTCATGTTTGTAAATTATCAATTATGTTCTTATTATGTATGTTAATACGTATATTCGTTCGAAGTACATGCTAGGATCTAAAGGTTTTGTGTGATAATTGTGTTTCTTGTATGAGTTTTGTTTATTTCAAATCATGTATATATGTATGCATATTATGTTACTTTCTAAACTTTACATATTCATGTGTATATTTGTTGACTATTATAAAATTCTTATTTATTAATTAAATTCAAATTCATTTTCTTTTATTAATTAAATATATTTATATGAATATGTATTTTGATTAATTCATTTTATTGTAAATGTCAATATTCATTTTTATATGCGTTAGTCGAAGATAGAATATTTCTTTATGAATAAGAAATAGATGAAATAGTTTTCCCGACAAAGGATTGCTAATGTCGAGATTTCTTTTCATATTAAAGAATTTTCTCTTTTAATTAATAATTTGAAACAAATTAAGCTTTAATAAATGTATCATATTTTGACTTGATATTTGGTTCAGGATTTCCACCATATACGAAAATATGTAAGCAATAGAGTACCAATTTTGGGCGTTGTGGGAGTGCTAATCCTTTCCCACGCGTAACCGACTCCCGAACCCGTTTTAATCGAATTTTTGGTAAACGCATACCAACTTTTTTCTTAAAAAATGATTTTTCTTAAAATTATTTTTAAAAGACACTTTTTTAGGTATTCGACCTACCTAACCCAAAGGCCGATGACGACTCTTTCCAATTTAATCCAAATTAATTCAAAATCAACCATTTTCCAAAATTAAAATCGTAACTATTTTCAAAACAATTAAACGATTGTCCCGCTGAAAAACGGTTACGATAGCTTAGCAACTCTACTGGGGATTTTTTTTAGAGTAAGTCTGTAAGTCGTTTACACATTGTCGTTTGGTGGAAATTATGAGTTCAAGTCTTTAGTTAACTTATGATCCTTTTATTGAAGTTTTTAATTGCTTCATTTTATTATTGTTATACTAACATTTTGATTTTTGCTTTCAGATCTGTCCAAGTTTTTTTCAAGAGGTTTTGTTTTTCTTTTGAGTCAAAGGGTTGAATGTTCCTTCTCACACACATCAAGCGCATTTGGATAATATAAGCTATATACCCGAGCTCTGAAACCTTTCTAAGTGGGGGCGAAAGTGACGTCTTCATGAGAATTTATTCTCCGTGCAGGCCTAGCAAGTAACCTTCGGGATTCATATACCTTATGTCTTCGAGGGAATTTATTCTCCGCATAGGCATAAGAGAATGTATCCTCTCGAATTAAACTCGTTCCACTTGAAACCTGTAATAGATGAGGATCGAGGGTTTGGAAGCCCAAGGGGGCACCGACATCAAGGACAATTCGAGTATCTTTTCTTGATAGAGCCGAAACTATGCATATAGTGAACCGTAGAATGGTCACCTTATGTATAGACGTACCGAACCTGTATGTCAATAGGTACCCAAAATAAGTGTACACAAAGGAGGAGTGTTTATGAACCTTTACCTTTTTTATGTTCATAGAATATATTTGTTCTTTTCAAACAAGTATGCGAATTAGATATCAGGCGGTTAGGATTTTTTGTAAATGACAAAGCATGGGGGTAGATATCATGTTGGGTAGGATCTACTAAAGCATGATTGGGTAGTCAGCAAATGAGGGTAGGTTTTATTTACTTATTATTTTGTTTATATTATGTGTACTAACCCATTTTGATTTTATGTCTATTTTTTATTTTGGATTTATTGCATTTGCATCCTCATGTCATCCAAAGGTGTTAATTCGCAAGTGATTGACTAATAAGAAAGCTGGTCATAATGAGACAAGAAATTCTTAACAATGTAGTCAAAATCGGGAGATCCAAAAATGTTCAAATGATCCATGAAGAAGGTCATCCGATGAATGAAGAAATCTAAAGATGATTGAAGACTTCCTTTAAAGGTGAAATGGTCGAGATGCTCCCTCAGAGATAGATACAGTCATATCAAGGACGAGAAGACCCTTCATAAGGACATGAAGACCAATTCGCATTGGAGGTAAGAATGAGATTTCAAGATTCAATTTAAAGTTATCCGACGTCATCAAAGATGATGAAATACGCCGACAATTGTTTGATGCAATGTTAGATTCCATGAAGAGTACGACTCAAGGAAATGAAGAGTTGCAATTGTATTTTGATTACATGGTGTACTTACTGAATTCTTGTCGTCTAAATGAAGGTTGTTCTATAAGTGGTCACTTTCGGAGTTAACACCTTATGCATTTGCATTTGCATTCTTATTTTTGCATTGACTTATTTATTTTTCTATTGTTGCTTTTTGTCATTTTGCTATCCTAATTGTACTACCTTGTTTTTTATGTGTTTTTTTCTTTGTCTGATTGCATGATCATGACATAATCAAAAGGTGTCGATTTGTGAGTGGTCAGCATAGTAGAAGGCTTTCATGATGGACAAGGGGTTTTGTGATCAAGCAGGCTATAATACAGTTGAAAAGTGGCATCCTAAGAAAGCGTCGAGAATAGTGGAGAGATCTGCACCCAAATATCCCATGGTTGAGAAAGAGCAAAATGAGATAAGAAAGATAAAAGAGCAGATGTCCAAGATGATGGATAGGATAGATGTTTTATCCAAAGGAAGTGGGATTTCTACATCAGAAAAGAATGAGCTCGACGAAAGCAACCTTGAGGTGTCAAATACACAAGGGACTACTTTAGAACTTGATGATTCTAGGCAGTATGAGAAGCCACGCACAGTCACCATTCGTATCAACAAGTTGTTTGGAAACGACAAAAAAATAGTGGAAACTGTAGAAGTCCAGAAAGATGAAAAGAAATCATGCAATCATAACTCGTGGGCATTTGAGAGGATACTTACAGCGTCAGGAGAAATAAACCTGAAGACTCTAGTTCCATCCAAGCCGAGAGGTGGCTCTCGTTTTGATTTTATCCCTATAAAATATAAGGAGTTGTATGATAAGCTTTTAAAAGCTCGGGAGGTGTCCCCGCAGTATGTGAAACCTTTACAACCTCCATATCCGGAGTGGTACGATGCCAATGCCAACTGTGAATATCATGTAGGAGCTCAATGACATTATATCGAGACTTGTGTTGCCTTCAAGCATCGAATTAATTG